AAGGATTGGTGTGGTAGTCAACAAAGTCTTGAGCTTCTAAAAGCTTTCTTCACACTCGTCCGACCATACAAATGGAACATTCTGTTTAGTCAGGTTCGTCAATTGGGAAGCAATGGAAGAGAATTCCTTGACAAATCGGCGGTAATAGCTAGCTAAACCAACAAAGTTCCTTATTTCTGACACATTAGTAGGTCTTACCCAATTCTTCACTGTCTCAATCTTAGAAGGATCCACCATCACCCCATCCTTAGAAACCACATGCCCCAAGAAGGACACTGCATCTTGCCAAAACTCACACTTGGAGAATTTGGCATAAAGCTTTTTCTCCCTCAATATTTCCAATACAATTCTCAAGTGCTCCTCATGTTCCTTCTTGCTCTTTGAGTATACCAATATATTATCAATAAATACGAACACAAAGAGATCCAGATATGGCTTAAAAATTCCGTTCATCAAACTCATGAAAGCAGCAGGGGCATTTGTAAGACCAAAAGACATCACTACAAATTTGTAATGCCCATACCTGGTCCGAAAAGCAGTCTTTGGCACATCCGTTGCCCGTATTTTCAATTGATGATAACCAGACCTCAAGTCAATCTTAGAGAAGACACAAGCACCTTGTAACTGATCGAACAAGTCATCAATGCGAGGAATGGGATACTTGTTCTTAATAGTTACCTTGTTCAACTGCCAGTAGTCTATGCACATCCTAAAACTCCCATCCTTCTTCTTCACAAATAACACCGGAGCATCCCAAGGAGATGCACTTGGTCTAATGAAGCCTTTGCTCAACAACTTTTGAAGTTGGACCTTTAACTCTCTCAACTCCGCGGGAGCCATTCTATAAGGGGGTATAGAAATGGGGCGAGTACCCGGTTCAAGGTCAATAAAGAAGTCAATATTTCTATTCGGTGGCATACCAGGAAGGTCTGCGGGAAACACATCTAAAAACTCACGAACTACCGAAACCGACTCAATTGGAGGTACTTGGGTAGTATCATCCCTGAGATGTGCCAAGAACTCTAAACAACCCTTACTAACCATTTTCTTAGCACGAAGAAAGGAGATGATACGAACCGGATTGGAAGTGTAGTCACCCTCCCACACTAACAGATCTGTCCCAGGCTTGGCTAACGTCACAATTTTAGCATTACAATCCAAGATCACAAAATTCGGAGAAAGCCAAGTCATACCCAGAATTACATCAAAATCAACCATTTCTAAGATAACCAAGTCTACATAAGTATTTCTCCCCACAAAAGTTACCAGACAAGACCTATATACTTTTTCAACTATCACAGACTTACCCACCGGAGTAGACACACGAATAGGTATGTCAAGTAATTAACAATGTAAATTAAGACCACTAGCAAATGCGGAAGATACATATGAAAATGTAGAGCCAGGGTCAAGTAATACAGAAGCCATAGAATCACAAACCAAAAGATTACCTGTGATAACAGCATCTGATGTCTCCGCTTCTGACCGCCCAGGGAAAGCGTAATAATGGGCCCTATCACCTGCTTGCCTGTTCCCCCTACCATGTTGCGTTTTAGTAGTTCCCATATGTCTGTCACCCCGGCCGTTTTGATGACCACCATTACCTCGGCCACCACGTCCTCCAGAATAACGACCTCTACCATGACCACCTCTACCTCTAGCTATTGGGGGTCTATAACTCTGTTTTGGACAATTCCTCCTAATGTGTCCAGTCTCCCCACATCCATATCACTCTCTGAAGTCAAACATAGGTCTCTCAGAGAAGTGTTGACCGGTCTGAGGTGGACCCCCAACTACAGTCTGTAGTGAAGACTGAATTGGTCGGACTGAGTAACCTCTTGAACCTTGTCCTCTAGAGTAAGAGCCATTAAGCTCACCTCCCTTTCAAAACCTTTTTGATGTCAATGCCATGGTGAAGTCATCTGGCTTCACTCCTTCCACCTCTATCATGAAGTCTACCACTTCTTGAAAGGATTTTTTCCGTAGCCGCTACCTGTAAGGCTGAAATCCGTAGTTCTGACCTCAACCCCTTCACAAAACGGCGAATCCGCTCTTGTGGACTGAAAAAAAGTTGGGTGGCATACCTGGATAATGCATGAAGCTTAGCCTCATATGCAGTAACCGACATCCTACCTTGCTCTAGGCTCAAAACTCATCTCTTTTCCTATCCCTCAAAGTCCAGGGAATATACTTCTCCATAAACAAGCTAGAGAATGATGCCCAAGTCATAGGTGGTGCCTCAGTTGATTGACACTCAACATGTGACCGCCACCACATTTTGGCGTTCCCTTGAAACTGATAAGTCACAAACTCAACACCAAACCGTTCTACTATACCCATCTTGTGTAGTAACTCATGACAGTCAACCAGAAAATCATAGGCATCCTCAGATTCAGCACCCTTGAAGACTGGAGGTTTCAATTTCAAGAACTTACTGAAAAGTTCATGTTGATCATTTGTCATTATAGGCCCTGTAGTCAGACGAGGAAATGTGCCTATTTCCAATGGAACATCTATGCGGGGAGCCGCAGTAGCCGCATGTTGTACCTCTGGAGCCTGAGGTGCTGGTGTAGAAAACACTGGAGGCATTTGACCTTGATCAGATAACCCACTAAGATAAGCAAGAACCTGATTGATCATCTCTGGGGTAGGTTGGGGAGGCAATCCCTCATTCTGTACTTGTTCAATTTCCCCTTCCTCACCCTCTCTTACTACTTCTTCAGTCGGTGGAGGAGTCACTGCCCTAGTATCAAATGGGCTAGGTGCTCGTCCTCTTCCTCAAGAGGACGTCCTCCCACGACCTCTACCACGGCCTCTTGCCGCTACTCTTCCTCTAGCTACAGCCCTAGTGGCTGGCTCAGACGCTTCTTGACTTGTCGATGTTGGTGTTGGCGCAGTCGTTGCTCTAGTTCTAACCATCTGCGAAATAGAGTGAAGATGGTGAGATACAAATTTATATCACCTAGATACCAATTGCACCTAAGTAATAGCACGAAAGAAAGAAAGAAAGAATGGAATTTTCCTAAAGTCTTATAGCCTCTTAAAGAAAATTAAAGGCGTCCCCCTACCGTTCCTTAAGACTCTACTAGACTCGTTCTTGTGTGATTGAGACCAACGAACCTAATGCTCTGATACCAAGTTTGTCACGACCCAAATCGGGCCGCGACTGGAACCCACATTTATCCTCCTATATGAGCGAACCAACCAATCTAAACCTCATCATTTCAAACATAATGAACTAAATACATTGCGGAATACTTAAAAACTCATTAACAAAATAAATCAATTAACTTCTAAAACTCAAACATTTATTATTATCCCAAAAATCTGGAAGTCATTATCACAAGAACATCTATCCTCAATTTACTAAAGCTAAGAGTATCTAGAAAGCTAGAATAAACAAAAAACTAGTCCATGCCGGAACTTCAAGGCATCGAGACATGAAGAAGAAGAAATCCAGTCCAAGCTAGAAGCGTTAGCTCACCCTGAAATCCGGTGTAATGAAGACTGGCTAGAGTTGCGGTTGAGTTGAAGACGACGGCACGTTTGCTACACTCCACAAATAACAAGGAAAGAAACATAAAAGTAGGGGTCAGTACAAAACACGGGTACTGAGTAGATATCATCGGCCAACTCAAAATAGAAAACAATATATATCAAGTAATAGTATAAAATCAACAACATTACTCAACATGTAGCAACAACAAGTACTATGATCGTTAATAAGTACCGCCAAGTTCACACATGAGGACTCAAGCCTCAATACCATACTCATTTGGGAATTAGGTTCATTAGATTGAGTATATTAACATCTTTCAAGATTCATCACCTTTATTCTTGTGTCGGTACGTGACACTCCGCTCCCCTACTACTATGTGTTGGAACGTGACACTCCGATCCCCTAGTTCTACGTGTCGGTTCGTGACACCCGATCCCCTAATTCTACGTGTCGGTTCGTGACACCCGATCCCCTAATTCTACGTGTCAGTTCGTGACACCCGATCCCCTAATTCTACGTGTCGATTCGTGACACCCGATTCTCTAATTCTACGTGTCGGTTCATGACACCCGATCCCCTAATTCTACGTGTCGGTTCGTGACACCCAATCCCCTAATTCTACGTGTCGGTTCATGACACCCGTTCCACTAATCTCATTCTATTAATTCATCAAGCCTTCTTTTATACCAAGGCATCATCAATGTCATTACTTTAGTTCATCAAGCCTTCTTTTATACCAAGGCATCATCAATCTCATTACTTTAGTTCATCAAGCCTTCTTTTATACCAAGGCATCATCATTAACAAGGGGTTTCCAAGATTTGGGATTCAATAGCTTCATCATGCTTATTTCATCACAATTATATAATCACATTCATGCTAGCATACAATTAAGCATATAGAAGATTTTACAATACAACCAAACACATATCATTTGCTATTAAGAGTTAACTACGAATAGTATAAAAACCATAACCTACCTCCACCGAAGATTAGTGATCAAGCAAGCAATTTCCCAAAGCTTTGTCCTCTTCTTTCTCTTTATCGTACGTTTCTCCTTCTCTTTCTGTTCTTTTCTTTTTCTTATTCAACCCTCTTCTTTTACCCTAATTAGCATATAATTAAGTATAAAAGATGGAAATAATAACCCACTAATTAACTCAAGGTTACCTCTTTTAACCCCCAAGTAGTTAGACTTATTAACATTAACCCACTAACTTTATAATTAAAGCAGGAATAGTCCAAAACGCCCCTTAAATTACTTAACATATATTCGACCCGGCCTGGGATTATGCAGCCTGTGACGGGCCGTCGTGCCCGCGACGGTCCGTCCTACTGCTCCGTAACAGAGTTCAGAGACTCAACTCTTTGAAGAGTTTGTGACGGTCCGTCACGCCTGTGACGGTCCGTCCTGCCATTCCGTTACGAAGTTCAGAGAGTCGATTTCAGTACCCAATTTTTAGAATTTTAAGTATTTTGGAACGAGACACCCTCGACGGTCCGTCGTGGGTTCCGTTGTCTCAGCCAGTTTTTCCAGAAATAAAATCTGCTGCTCAAACGACTAAACAGGTCGTTACAGATAAATAGATAATCTAGTTCATAATAATCTAATATAAATTTAATCAATTATGAATATGATAGGAAGGAATAATTGAAAAACCCCGTATAACAACAAACATGACCACATACATACATGACGGAATGATAAAAAATTATGAAACTTTAATCTTAAATATACTTCAAGGTATAGAAATAATTGAACTAAGAAGAATAATATGGAAAAAAATATTTAATGATAACGAACCGGAAGATATGTTAAATCAACAATGGTATGAAATATACTTACGAGATTTAGACTATGAAAAATAGAATGGTATGATTTAGAAATAAATTCAGATTAAAATGAACTATGAATATTCACAATATTGGATAGAATCTATGGAATATATAAAATTATTAGAACAATTCATTGAGGAAAATTTATATATGTACAAAATTCCCAAGACATGTTATAACAAGGATATAGCATAAATAATATTAAAGAAATAGTTACATTAAAACAACGAACGAATTTATTAACTACCAATTCCAACCATACAAAAATGGTTATGTGGCCAAGCACGTTTTTGTGTTTCCTTTTATCTTCATCTTTATCTTCTTGTCATTTTCTTTTATCTTCATCTTTATCTTATTGTCATCTTTCGTCTTTATCTTTTATCTTCTTGTCATATTCTGTCTTTATCTCTTATTGCAGCTGGACGTCTAGCATTATATTATATTCTCTATTTCTTTTTAAATATATGTGATCAGAGTATTTGTGATCAATTAGCTTGCAATATCTTGTTAATAATTTTTTCGACATAAATCCAAATTTGAGTGCTCGTGTTGTAGGTCATTCTTCTAGCATAAGTAATGATAAAATCCATCTTTGGACTTCATCCATATCTGCTTTCCTTAGCTCCCTTGAATTGAAATAAATCATTAACTGATCTCTTGCATAGTAGCTCCATATAGCGTTTCCGTTTAAATAATTATTTTCTAATTCTTGTATAATGGTTGATATACCAATTATTCTCTTATTGGCTTGGTATCTCAATTTTTTGTACCTCTGGTTGTTGTTCAATATTTTCCGGTATTATCATATCTTTTGTTAATCCTATCTTTACTACTTGTATTGGAGGTTTTATCTCCTCGTATAATATCTCTGTTGTTGCCATATAAAATTTTGACATAGAATAAATTTCTCCTAGTAACTCTCTTATAAGTAATAAATGTTTTATGTATCTCTGGCATTTCACTTAGTTCCTCTCTATCATATGTATATATTGTATTTACTAATCCATAATTGTAACAGGTCCTAACTAAGTTGGCGTTAGTTTTCGATTGTGCAATCAATTTATTATAACCTTGTAATTTTTGGGTTAAATAATCCTGATTAGGTTCTTGGATTATAGTAGATCTGGGTTTAAGTTTAAAAGCGTTTGAATTTTGTATATATTGTCAATATAGATTTGCTTAATATGGTTATATATTTTTTTGTCATGGTGTAGGCTATCTGCGTATGTAGAAGTTTGTGGTTCTGTAGTTTGGTGTTAGCCTCGAGGTAAATGATTTTTTGGATAACTGGTTTAAGTTTGAATTCTTATGTTTTTTACTAACTCGTTTGCTTGTACCTGCGGGTGTATTTAAACAATTTTTATGGGTTTTTAGGTGTTTTCCAATGTCACCGTTTAGTTCTGGATTCTTTCTGTCTTCCGATTGACATAGTTTCGCATTTTTATAGTCATGCTGCTGACTTATGCTAGCTTTAGACTTCAGATTATCTTCATTAGTCTTAGCTTTTGTATCTCGTTGTCCGTACTATCCACTTTTGTACAAAGTGTAGTAATAGCTTCGAGTATCTTTTCAATTGTATCTTCTCCCTTAGTCTCAGTCTGAGTAGCTTTGTCGTGATAAGTAATCTGCAATAACATTCTTATCATTTTTTATTACTTCAATTGTAAATGTAAAATTTAATATATTTAATACTAATCTCTTTATTTCTTTTACTGTTACTAAATTTTGTATTTTTCTTGTTTGTCACCGTTTTACTTGTGTATTATCTGTAATTATAATGATTTTGTTATATACAATATATGGTTCAAATGATAATTAACACTTATATACTGAATATAATTCTTTTTTATTTATTTTTCATTTTATTTCTGTATTATTAAATGTTCCTGAATAATATCAGCAATGATATTCTATTGTATTGGCATCATATTTGTATTTTAGTATTCCTCCATAACTTTTTTCACTTGCATCTGATTCTATTATATAAGTAATTTTTTTGTTTTCCTCAGGAAAGTATAGTTTAGGTAAGTTTTTACATAATACTTTAACTTTCGTATCTGTATTTGGTCTTTTTTATCAAACTGATATTTCATATCTTTCTTTAATTTTTGTTGTGATGATTTTAATTTTTTTGCCAATTTTGGTATGTATTCTCTTACTTGATTTACTAGGTCTAAGAATGATTGTAATTTCCTTTTTGTGTGTAGTTGTTCATTTGAGTTAATTATTTTTTGTACTATATGTGTTTGCATTTTTCTTCCGTTTTTATCTGTATATATTCTTAAGAATTCTATTTGATTTTTCATTATATCTGCTTTCTTTTTACTTAGACTTATACCCGAATATTCTATTATATGTATAAATTTTTTTAATAATCTTACATGTTCATCTTGTATTTTGGAATATAATAGTATATCATCAATCTAAACAATACAATTTTTTATTTTTTTAAGGGATAATGCACAAGTACCCCCTCAACCTATGCCCGAAATCCCAGAGACACACTTATACTATACTAAGGTCCTATTACCCCCCTGAACTTATTTTATAAGTAATTTTCTACCCCTTTTTAGCCTACGTGGCACTAGTTTGAAAAAAAAGTCAACCATCGTTGGGTCCACAAGATAATGCCACGTAGGTCGAAAAGGGGAAAAATTATTAATAAAATAAGTTCAGGGGTGTAATAGGACCTTAGTTTAGTATAAGTGTGTCTTTGAGATTTCGAGCATATGTTGAGGGGGTACTTGGACATTATCCCTTTTTAAAAAGTAATTATCCATAAAGTGTTGATATCTACCGGTGCATTTTTATATCCAAATGGTAATAAATTTCATTCATAAAATCCTTGTGGTACAATGAATGCTTTTAGTTTTTTAGACTCTTCTTCTAGTTTTAGTTTTAAGTGATACAATCCCGATTTACAATCAAATTTGCTAAAATAATTATATCCTTATATTTGTCTTATCTTTAGTATTTTATTTGGTATCGAATAATTATATGTTTTAGTTTTTGCATTTAAATTTCTATAATCAATAACCATTCTGCTTTTTCCTCTTTTTTGTTCACTATGTTTATTTACTATGAATGTCGGGCTTGTGTGCTTACTATTGCTTTCTTGTATATATCCTTTTTCTAATAATTCATGATCTTAAATTCGGTTAAATAATTAAAATTATATTTTAATGAATTGGGGTTATTATACTATTATTGTCAATTAGCTCGATTTTCACTTTTATTTTATGTTTTTTTTCATCCATGTAAAGGATCTTCACTATATAATAATTTTTACTTATCTTGGATTATTTTTACTTTAATTATAGAGAATATAATTAATTCTATCTTAGGGTCTTCTTCTTTTATATTTTCTAACTTTTGCGTAATTTTTTCACTTTCTTTTATCCATTCTGTTATTTTTTATTTTTTGTTATTTACTCTTTTTGCTCCTATTTTTTATTTACATGGTGTTGTGAACCATCATTGTGTTTTTGTTATTATATATGGATATAATTTTTCTAAAAAAGGCATTCCTAATAGCATATATTTTGTAGTCAATTCAAAATTATATATTTCTTCTATAGTTAATATCTTATCCCATATTTGTATTTTTATATTTTTTGTCTTATATGTGATCATGCTTCCTTCATTATTACATCATGTTACTACTATCGGTGTTTTAAATTCTTTTCATTTATCTTCCGATAAACAATTGTATTTATATATATTAGCTTTTGCTTCCGTATCTATTATCGGTGTATAATATCTCTTTGCAAGTATATGTATTTTCATATTTTTGTTCTACCAAAGTTCTTTTTATTATTACTCTTTTATTTTTATAATTTATTTGTCAATTGTTTGTCTTCTAGATTATATTGTTTTACTTGTTCTAACCATTTTATTCCTAAAATAATATTTTCATCTCCTTGATATATTTTAAATTTTATTAGTAATGGTACTCCTCCACTGATTACTTATTTTTTTTAGTATCTTCGGTATACACTAATGTTTTTGGTAGTTCGGGGCATGATTGCCCAATAGTTATTATTTCATCTTCCGTTACTAATTCTCTTGTAATATAGTTTTCTTCTCGTCCTATAACTATTAATATTAAATATTTTTGTTGTTTCATTATTCCAATTATGTAATAATGATGTGGTTTTATTTCATCTTCCGTTAATTTTTGTGGAGTTTTATCTTTTCTTTTCCAAGTACTCATTTTTTATGATATTTGTATTATTTCACAGTTTATTCTTTTTAATATGCTTAATCTTTCTTTTACTATTTCTAAGTCTTCTTCTATATCAATCTCATTATAACTATAATCATTTTTATCTATGACTGTGACTATCCTTTCAAAAGGATCTTCTATTTTTATTTTTTTTATTTTATTTTTTGTTGTTATTTTATGTTTTGTTGTTAAAACATATATGTTTTTACATCTGTAACGACCCATTTGGTCTTTTTAAATATTAGAGCTTTTTAATTCATAAAATAATTTCCAAAGATTCTAAATGGAAATTTTTGGACTATTCTAATTATAACTATAAAATTAGTGGAGTAGTATTAATAATTATTTAGTTGGTGGTTAAAGAAGATAACATAAAATTTATAATAGGTCACTTTTACCATTATTTTTATAATTAGCCAAGTATATGAATTAGGGTAAATAAATATTCTTTAGAAGAAGAAAAAAAAAAGATGGAAAGAAGAGAATTATGGAGAGTGGCGTTGGCACCGCTCAAAGTGACAAACCCACTTCTGGTAACTGAATCTTCATTTCTATTTTAATTTGTTACATTGATTGTTTCATATATGAGTAAAGTTAAATTATTATTATATTATTGGAAGCAAGTTAATAGGATTATGGTGTACTATGAACACTGCACGTGAACTTGAGTTGGAAAACAGGTAACGTGGGTGACAAATTGAATAGGAAAAGTTGGAGACAAGTTTTAATGACTAATTTGTAGAAATAGTAAGGTAGCAAATTTAAAGATGGTCAATGACAAGTTAATGACCAGAGATATTAGACTAGATTAAAGTGACTTAGGCTTCAAATTGTGGGTATGATAGTTACGATTTCCATGAATTAGTAGGCTGATTTCTTTTGAACAAATATTTGATTATTATATTATTGTTATTAGGGTGCATTGTGAATTGGAGATGAATTTGGTAGGTGTTTATTGTCACTGTTGTCGTGACAAGTGACTTCAATTTTAAGTTTTGAAATTCTATTATTATATAAAATTATATTTTGATGTATCGAGATTGGTAATTAAATATTGGATGTATCAAATTATTTAAATTCCATTAAAGTTATGCGAATTGGAGAAATGAAGACTTACCCTTGAATTGGAACTTAGAAAATTGCTTAGAGAATTAGGTGAGTTGTGGTTATAGGCTATACATAGAATAATATGAGTATTTATAGACTCGTTAATGTAACGACCCGCTTAGTCGTTTTGAGCAACAGACTTCAATTCTGGAAAAACTGGCAGAAGCGAAGGACCCCACGACGGAACGTCATGGGCACGACGGACCGTCTCAGGGTCTCGTTTCAAAACACTTAGAAAATATGAAATTGGGTACTGAAAATCGACTCTCTAAACTTTGTGACGGAATGGCAGGACGGACCGTCACAGGTGTGACGGACCGTCACAGGTGTGACGGACCGTCACAGACCCTATGAGGAAATATTGGGTCTCTGAACCTTGCGACGACCTGCAGGACGGACCGTCGCAGGCACAACGGCCCGTCACAGGTTGCGCAAATCCCAGGCAGAATCGGATTTCCTTACACGTTTTAAGGGACGTTTTGGGACTATTCTTTCCTTAATTATAGATTTCGTGGGTTTATATTAATAACTCAAATTCTTGGGGGTTAAAAGAGGTAACCCTAAATTAATTAGTGGGGTATTATTGCCATCTTTTATTCTTAATTATATACTAATTAGGGTAAAAGAAAGAGGGTTTGAATAAGAAAAAATAGAAAGAACAAAGAGAGACAGAAAAAGAAAGAGAACGAGTAGAGAGAGAGAGAAACGAAGAGGATAGCAAGGATTTTGAGAATATAGCTTGTTGATCGCAATTCTTCGGTGGAGGTAGGTTATGGTTTTCATGCTTTCATAGTAAACTCTTAATAGAGAATGATATGTATTGGTAGTATTGTAAACCCTACTATATTCTTAATTGTATGTTTGCATGAATATGATTATGTGATTGTGATAAGATAAGCATGATGAAAATATTGAATCCCAAATCTTGAAAAGAAACTTTAATATACATTATTAATGATGATGCCTTGGTATAGAAGAAGGCTTGATGAATTAAAGTAATGGGATTCATGATGCCTTGGTATAGAAGAAGGCTTGATGAATTAAAGTAATGGGATTGAGGATGCCTTGGTATAGAGAAGGCTTGATGATTTACAGAATGATATTAGTGGATCGGAGTGTCACGTTCCAACACATAGATTTAGTGGATCAGAGTGTCACGTACCGACACATGTAGGGGATCGGGTGTCACGAACTGACACGTAGAATTAGGGGATCGGGTGTCACGAACTGACACGTAGAATTAGGGGATCGGGTGTCACGAACCGACATGTAGAATTAGGGGATCGGGTGTCACGAACCGACACGTAGAATTAGAGGATCGGGTGTCACGAACCGATACGTAGAATTAGGGGATCGGGTGTCACGAACCGACACGTAGATTTAGGGGATCGGGTGTCACGAACCGACACATAGATTTAGGGGATCGGAGTGTCACGAACCGACACAAGAGGAATAATGAATATGAGGGAGCGGAGTGTCACGTACCGACACAAGAGAAATAAAGATAATGAATCTTGAAAGATGTCAATATACTCAATCTAATGAACATGATTCCCAAATGAGTATGGTATTGGGGCTTGAGTCCTCATGTGTGAACTTGACGGTAATTGTTAATGATATAGTGCTTGTTGTTGCTACATGTTGAGTATCATAGTTGAGTTTATGATATTACTTGGTATATACTGTTTTCTATTTTGAGTTGGCCGATGATATCTACTCATTACCCGTGTTTTGTACTGACCCCTACTTTTATGTTTTTCTTCTTGTTATTTGTGGAGTGCAGCAAACGTGCCGTCGTCCTCAACTCAACAGTAATTCTAGCCAGTCTTCGTCACACCGGATCTTTAGGGTGAGCTAATGCTTCTAGCTTGGACTGTATCTTCTTCTTCAAGTCTTGATGCCTTGAACTTCCGGCATGGACTAGCTTCTTATGTATTTTTAGCTTTTAGAATACTCTTAGTTTAGTCATTTGATTGTAGATGTTCTTGTGGTGATGACTTCCAGGTTTTGGGAATAATAGATGTTGAATATTGATAGTTATTGAATTGGTTTTTATTAATGAGTTAAGTCTTCCGCATTAATTTCTGTTGTTATTACATTGAAATGTTAAGGTTTAGATTGGTTGGTTCGCTCACATAGGAGGTTAAGTGTGGGTGCCAGTCGCGATCCGAT